TTTTTTGATAAGTTACAAATTTTTTGAATTACAACTGATCTTACTCGACTTTTTTGTGACGAAAATGGAACTTTTTCTTTATATTTCCATTTTGGCAAAATAATTTTTTCAAAAACGACTACGTATTTCTGTAGATATTTGAGTAAAGAAAATAAAAAAATTTTTTTTGGTTCTAAACCAAAAATTATGACAGTTGTGTTGCTAACACCGCGGAACACAGTACCAATTTTATTGTCTCCTTCACGCTGCTGTATATACGCCATTTTAATAATTAAGACTCTAAAAACTTTTTTTTTATTTTTTACTTTTTTTTATTTTTTTATATATATAATAAAGTTATAAAATTCATTTTTTAATAGCGCGATTCATTAAATTTATAAGCTTTCCTAAAAATAGACCTCATTTACGGCCGGTTACATAGATGTTATCCCTTAATAAGACATCTTAAATAATTATACAGTTTAGACTTCTCATCTGAAATATGCATAAAATTAAGCTCATTCGACGCGTTTTTGCACAAAACGAAAGAATCAGGCAGAAAAAAGCGTTGCTCTGCCTCGCGAACCGAGATATTAATCGTTAAAGTTGCATTATTCAGGGTTAGGAAACCTGTCATACCGACGAAATATATCGACGTGGACATGCGCTGTGACCACATGCGCATGCGTTTCGCCAAGTCGCTGTGCCAATATTAAAGCGGTTTTTTAAATTTTGTGAAATTGTATAATTATAAATTTTGTTTTAAAACAATTTATAATTGTTTGTTCCATATAGGTTTACGACTTTTCACATAAAGCGAGTTTCCACAAAGGTTTTGCGAAATCCTCTCTATCGTAATTATAGACCTCGTTTTGTCCCTTAGCATGGAATGAGGGGAGAGTGAATTTCGCAAAACCCTTGTGGAAATTCACTTTATGAGGAATCGAATAATTATAGACTTTGTTTTAAAACAAAATTTATAATCATACAATTTCATAAATTTAAAAAACCGTTCTAATATTGCACGGAGCGACTGAAACGCATGTCGATACATTTCGTCGGTGACAGATTTCTTAACCTAAATAATCGTCAACTTTAACGATCAATATTTCGCTTCGCAGAGCGACGCTTATTTCTGCCGGATTCTTTCGTTTCATGTAAAAACGCGAATGAGTATAATTTTAGCCATATTTGAGGTGAGGAGTCTAAACTGTATAATTACCGACGTCTTATAATATTTAAGACGTCTTTTAGACGTCTTTAAGATGTCATAATGTTCTCTGGAGAAATACTTCAACAAATCTTAAGTAAAGGAATATTAAAAAGTCAAGGAATATTAAAAATTAAAAAGTACAAACATATACATACGTAAATGTACAATACAATAAAAAATACATGCATTCAAAATGACAATATTCATATTGCTTCTTAGAACTCTATGAGATAATAGAATTTATTTCATTTAGAAAAATCTAGCAATCAAGATCCTGCTTGCCGAAAAATGACCATGTTTCTCATTGTAGATAGTAACTTTAATTCTTTTCCAAAATTTATATCAGGCTTTACATACTGATAATATCATATTTATCATATTATAATAAACTGTTAACTTTATGTGTAAAAATTATGAGAAATAATATAATAAATAAGAATATTTATTATTTTTTATTATTAATATACGGTATCTTATAATTTGCAGACCACCTCTTATGATCATATAGAAATGTTCTGTACTATTTCATAATTTTTATAATAATTAGGTAATAAAAATAACAAAACTAAAATTAAAAATTTGATTTTTCTTTTGCAATCTGAAAGAGAAGAGTAGTTTCCCAATTTTTTGTGCTAAATTAGTAAATAAAAATATTCCATTATATCAAATTTTTAAGAAAAATAGAATTGATACTACTTAAAAACGTGTTTTTAACTATTTTTGAAAATTTATAGCTGACGACTTCATTGTATGAGAGCCTTTAAAAAAGGTTTAAATTAATGTTTGACTATTATATTACTTTGACATGATATCGAATTTTTTACCGTTAACATCATCGAATTTCTGACACATTTGGTTTTAGGAGTGGGTATAGTCGCACAGTGTCAAATAAAATTGCTCTATATAATTGAAACAATTATAAATAATAATAATAATAATCAGAAAAAAATTACTTTTTAAAAAAAGATAAAAGATTACGCCAACTTCAAGCGACTTGTTATTTTTGGTTTGCGTAAAAAAATATTTTATTAGAATAGAAATCAATGTTAATTGATATAAAATTCTAATATTAAAAATTCAATTTCGGCCAATTTTTAATCTCATTAAATAAAAAAATCTTACAACATTGAAATCATAAAAAGTATATTTTATTTTTATTCATATAAAA